GCTGGAGACAAAAATATCGATTTTGAATTCCCAAATGCTTGCCTTTTGGGACCCCCCTTTTATTTTGGCTATCAAGATTTTAAAAGCTAAGCTTCAGACTTTTCATCCCAACGTTTTAATGCGGGAAAGCTAGGAGAAATGCTCCAACTGATTTAAGTCACGCAACACGCTTTAAGACCGCATAACTTGATCTTTCACAAATAATAGGAAACATTTGATTGACAGAAAAATTTGCATTTACTAGCGACGCGTATCTACAGGCGCGATTCCGTAATGTTATAACAGATACCTTCAATCAATATTCAAATATTGCAATGTTCATATCATTTTTTTGGGATCCGTCAAAAAATATAGAAATCGCTTTTAAAAACATAAATAATTACACATATCCTCCAAGATTCAGAATTCGTAATACCAATCTACAAATCTTAGATAGACTAAAGAATCAAGAAATAACCATTCCAACTGAATTTCATAATAAACAAATTATGCTCTGGATAGCAAGAAAGGAATGAATAGCTTAAATGTCATTATCAAATCACTGCACGAAAAATTGGACTTACACAAATTTACTCGGTGTAAATATGGTGCAAAAAAGTTCAAACTAGGGCAAAATTAAAACCAAAGATGGTAAATACCCGATTTGCTTGCCAGTTTACATGGGGGTGTAAATTTTAGAGCAATTTCGGTATTTACCATCTTTGCCCCTTATTTAACCTCAGCTTGCCTTTTTTTGCACCAAATTTGCACTGAGTAAATTTGGTGTAAATCCAATTTTCCGTGCAGTGAATTATTCAGCAACATTAAACACCAATACTAAACGAAATTCTTACTAATCAAAGAAATTGAATATTGATTGCACTGACACTCAGGTATAGGTATTATTCACAAATTTGGACTTTGACTCTAGAGAGTATCATCGTATTATCTCGAAGAAAAGCGAAATGGAACTTATGTTGTGTAAAATATATAATCTATTAGTATATGAGTCTAAACAAAAATATCTTCAATTTCAACCACATTGATAAAACCAAAACAAAAGAAGAGATTGCTGAGATTGAACAGCTATACAAATATTATCATTACCGTTTCTGGTGCTATCAAAAGGCATACAAATATTTCAGAAACTTAAATCTAGCAATAAATATGAGTTCAACGGGCTTAATAGTAATCGGGACCGTTGTGGGTAGTGTGACATTAAATCCTGCTATCCTTGCTAGTATTTCCGGTGAAACATCTTCACCTCGAAGATATGAGCTTGTTAGCTTTTCTAAAAATTCGAGTATAAATAAAGTTTAATGTTATGTTATGTTATGGTGCTGGTTTGGCTGTAAAAACATACTCAGAAATCAAAGACTATATACGTAAAATTGAGATTAGTAAATATGCTTTCACAACTTACCAGAAAGGGTTGCTCGATCTCAGAACAGCTCAGAGAGGCGGCTCGTTTGATAAAAGTAATTTCATAAAGGAATTAAACATTCTCGATGACATCATTGTGGATTTCAATCCTTTAGTGACAAAATCTGAAAAACAGTACAATAAAAGATCCACGTAATCTGAGTAAACTCACTTGCTTTTAATATCGTTCTTAATAAACGTGTTTCCACCACTGGCTGTAATAATTAAGAGTCTTCTTTGATTTTGAAAGTGGGATAAATTTATATTTTATTCCTAAAATGTCAAATAGTTGCTTAAAAATG